CCCTTCATTCCCTTTGTTTCAGTGCATGTGACGGAGCGATTCGGAAGGGCCGGAGGGGAGCGGGCGCATGCGGTCACCAGCGCTGCGGTGGCTGTCTGGCTGCAGCCGGGCTCGGAACAGCTGCCGGGCTCCCAGCCCGGATCTCCTCTGCCAAGAGCAGACACCCCTGCACGCCCGGCAGGATGCACAGCACACACACACCTCCATCCACACATGGAGACAGAAGCACAGAACGGGGCGTGGGGCACGGCTGTGGGCCTGGCCCCATAGGGCTGCATGGGCAGAGGGATGGGAGAAGGATGGGAATGGGGGTGGGAAATGCGTTGGGAATGGGGGTGGGAGCAGGGATGGGAACTGGGATGGGAATGGGGATGGGAACTGGGTTGGAAACTGGGATGGGAACTGGAATGGGAACTGGGGTGAGAATGGGGATGGGAAATGCGTTGGGAATGGGGATGGGAGCAGGGATGGGAACTGGGATGGGAATGGAGATGGGAACTGGGTTGGAAACTGGGATGGGAATGGAGATGGGAACTGGGTTGCAAACTGGGATGGGAACTGGAATGGGAACTGGGGTGAGAATGGGGATGGGAAATGCGTTGGGAATGGGGGTGGGAGCAGGGATGGGAACTGGGATGGGAATGGGGGTGGGAACCAGGAAGTGAGCTGGGATGGGAACTGGTGTGGGAATGGGGATGGGAGTAGGGAAGGCAGCTGGGACTGGGGTGGGAGCTGGGGTGGGAGCTGAGATGGGAACTGGTATGTGAGCTGGGATGGGAACTGAGGTGGGAGTGTAGGTGAGAACTGGGATGGAAATTGGTATGGGAGAGGCTGTAGGAAGTGGGATGGGAACTGGGATGGGAGTGGGGATGGAAACTGGAATGGGAGTGAGGATGGAAACTGGAATGGGAGAGGCTATGGGAACTGGGATGAGAACAGGAATAGAAACTGGTATGGGAAGCAGGATGGGAGTGGACATTGGAGCAGGTATGGGAATGGGCATGGGAGGGATGGGAGCAGGGAAGTGATTGCATGTGTTGTTGGGAATATGGCTGAGGATGCTCCCAGGGTCACAGCTCCTCATCACTTTTGGGCCCACACTGCTCTCCCCACTGACCAGCACCAGGATCCAGGCTGTTTCCCTCTACCTGAGGTGTGGAAGCTTTAACCCTCTGTCAGAGTTTGACCAGGATGGGGAACATCACTTTGTCCCCAGGGCTGGTTCTCAAAGCACCCTCCTGCTCCAGCCCCCCAGTCACTTTGAACCCCAGGGGAAGATGAGCACCAGGAGAATCCCATGGGCATAAGGAGCAGTGCCCAGGGCTTGGCAGTACTGGACAGGAGAAAGCACAACCCTGGTGCTGGGGTCAGCTGGCAGCCACACCACTGCACAGCCGCTTTGTTTTCTTGGGAAATGAGGCTGAAAGCAGCAGCCACAGGGGAGAAGGGACCATGACCACATCTGAGAGCACTGGGCATGTTTTTTGCTTAGCTGCAATAAATCAGCATGTTAACTGAGCCCTGAAAAGTGGCCCAGAGGCAACCAGAGTCTGTGATGCTGTAGGTGCTGCTATAGGTACTACATAGGTGCTGCTATGAGTGCTGTAGGTGCTATAAGTGCTGCTATAGGTGCTGTAGTGCCAAGCACCCCTCTTCTGGGCTTGGAACATCCTCTCTTTCCCCACTGCTCAGGCAGCATGAGGAGCAGGTGGAAGTGCTGCAGCATTTGCTCTTAATCAGAGCTGTTCTGCCATCCCCTTGGACGCAGAGAGCAATCTCTGCTTTCCATTATCTCTATGTCTTCGGGCATCTCCGCCTCCTTCACTAATTTTCTGACTTCTCCTCTTTGTCTCAGTGGGAAAAAGCAGCCACGGATCATCCCACTGAGCAGTGCCAAAGCACAGCTCCCAGTGCTGGCTCCCAGCATCGCACCCTGTGGTGGGACGGGCATGGGGCTGTGGGCATGTGTGCCCACCTGTGGTCCGTCCATGCCATCCATGTCAGGTCCCCTCCGTTTGGTCTTAGAGAGGTATCCTGTGCACCAAACCCTTCTCTTGGTGAGACCTTCCTGCGGAGCCTTCCCATGGGGCCAGGCTGGCATTGTGTTTGTTGAAAACACAAAACTGGTGCATCCCAAAGAGCTTCAGCCCTACAGCAAGGTGAGGCAGCGGCACATTGGGTTCACTGCCAATAGGATGAAAGGAGAAGGGTCAGGATACCAAGAACACCGAGCACCCCCGTAGAATGATACTGCTGAGCACTTGCCCAGCTAAGCTGCCAATGGGAAACCATGGGACTGTGTCTTCTGGGGGGGTCCGGATCCGGCCCCCACCCTCCCCTCTGTGCCAAATCCCTGCAGGGCACGGAGGAGCCAATCCCTGTGAAGGACATGGCACTCGTCTCGCCTCCAGCCCATTGTCTCGTTGATTGGTTACGGTTGGTCTTCAATTAGGAGTTGGGCCGTTGGGGGCATGAGGCCATTTCTTCCCATGCGAGCGTGTGGTTCCCGCGCTGCTGTGCTCTGATGTGGTCGGGGGCCCAAAGGAGCATCTGCTCTTGCAGACACAGTGCCCGGGGACGAATGCATTTCAGATGGGCTCGGCTCCGCTTGCTGTGCTTGGGCCGGCGGCCAGCTGGGGATGCTGAGAAAGCGCCGCTGGCCGGCCCCACGGACACAATGTTCTCCTGCATGGGGACCGGGCTAGCATCCCATATAGAGGCTGAGCATGCTGCAGGCCATGTGAGACTCCAAACAGAGCCCGTTTCCCAAAGACCAGCCCTTGCGGGCACCTCGGCCATGGAGGTCAACGGGCTCCAGCAGGCAATGGGGTGACGGATGGGCAGGTGGTGCCCAGTTGGGATGCGGGAGTGGTACCCAACGTGCAGCCTTGTGCTTGCACACCTCGGGATGCTCCCAGCCCACGGATGCAGCTCAGGCACTTATGGTGCTCGCAGATCCCGGGGCTGCACCTGCAGGTCTGGTCTGGCCGGTGGCCCCAGGGCAGCGTGCGGACCCGTCCGGCCGGGTTACGCAGGGCGTGAGCAAGCACATGATGCGCTGCAGGGCCAAGGGCTGAGGTCAGCTCGGCACACCCAGGCAGCGGCTCTGACTTCACCGCAGGCAGCAGTGGATCCTCACGTACCGCGCTCCCCAAGGCAGCGGCTCGGGGACAGAGCGCGGCCGGTCAGAGCACTCTGGTACTGGGGCGAAGGCACCGTGCTCCCAAAGCTCCCCTTCCCTTGGCGTTCCCCCCAGCCAACATATTTCCTCTGCTCCCGTGTCCAAAGGGGAACTGTTAATAGGGGCTCTCTGTGATGGTTTGCCCTGGTGTGTGTGGGTCCTGGCTGCAGGGTGGCATCAGCACGGGCTGATGTCAGCTCCATCCAACTGCCTGTGGCTGGGGATGGCTGTGGGGCAGTGGTACAGGTTGGTGGGGAGATGGCACTGGCTGGGGACCTCACAGCCCCATAGGGAGGTGACGGATCTGAGTTTTGGCAGTTCTGGATCTGCCCTGCACTGCACTTTTCCAGGGAAGGAAGAGTTAATCCCCGCCTGCCGCTAATGAGCCTTAACTGGGAATGACCCGACACCAGGGAGAAGTGAACCCATTGTCCTCCCTGTGTTTGACTGCCTTCCAGGGAGACTCATGAAACACAGAGCCCGGGCGTGAGTTCCCAATTTGTGTCAGGAGGCTCTGATTTATTCTATTTATTTATTTTTGCCATCTGGTTGAGGAGGGACGTCGAACACAAGCGTGAGAAATCCAGATGTGCACCGCTCCCCACTCAGCCCCGGTGCGCAGAGCATCCCAGTCCCAAACCCCAAGCATGGGGCACACGGGGACAGGCAGGGACGTGGTGACACTCTGGCACCTGTTGGTCCCCAAAGGGGGTGAGCCGTGAATGTGGCCATGGGGCAGCCCAGGTGGCAGCACTCAGCCCAGATGTCCGTTGTGCGGATGGGGTGGCCGTGCCCTGAGCTGGGGGCAGCAGCCATGGGGATGTGCTGACCCACTGTCATCGGGATGGCTTCAGCCTCAGCTTCTCCCCCCATGTCCCTTTCTCATCTTTGGGGTTCAGCAGCTGTTTGAGGATGGGCCATCCCATGGGAAAGCTTTGGTGGTCTCTGGGTGATGACACTGGGGTGCCCAAGGGACACCCAGGTCCCTTCCCCAATGGCAGAATGGGGTGATGGATATCACTACACCATACCCAAAGAAAAATCTGCTGCACACGCGGGGATGTTGGCACAGCTGTGGGGCTCAACCCCTCACCAGGGCAGAACGACCCACGGGGGCAAAGCAAAGAGGGCTCCTTTTTTTATAGGGGGCGAATCTTTCCGATTTCGCTGATTATTTTTTGTCGGGGCTCCTCCGAGACACGAGATGAGCACACAGGATCTTAGCTCATCCGCTCCCTGTCTCATGCCTGGGAGGTTTGGCGGGTGGCCCGAGGGCTCCGGAGGAGGAGGAAAATTTCATCATCCCGCTCCAACGTCTCCCGTATAATCAGCCCCTTGTTAACCGGTGCAGCCCCATGCGAGACACCGAGGGCCGGCGCGCGGCTGCATCCTTAGGTGGTCTTGGCTGGACCGGAGCTTTTCAGAGCCTCTCCCAGGGCAGCCCAGAGTCTGGGAGGCAATTTCAGCATCCCTTGGGGACGATCTCTTTGCCGTGGGATGGCCAAGCAGCAGCCATCTCATAGGAAGTGGGGAGAGAAACAGGAGCAGGGGCAGGGAGTGGTGAACCCCAACCCTTGGTGATGCTCGAGGGCTCTTTGGGGCAGCCCCAAGGGCGTCTGGGGGGAGCATCGGAGCAAAGAGGAGCCAGAGAGGGTCACTTTCTCTTGGTTTATTTAAAAAAACAATCAAACAACAACAACTGGAGGAAAGTATAAAAAAATAAATATTTAAATAGAATTCTATATATATATATATATATATATTACCAAAAATCTTATTAATTATTATTATTATTAATATTATTAAACACCAGGTCCGAGCCTATAAATACCCCCGGCCCCCGCCCCGGCGCCAGGGACGAGCCAGCGCCTCCTGCCACCACCCCAGGCTCGGCCCCTGAGTCCCCATGCTGGCTGAGACCCCGTCTGTGCCAGCGGGCCATGCCAACATCCACGGGTGCTCCCCAGCACCACATCCCTGTCCCCATTGGGTGGCGGTCCCAGCCCACACCCAGGCCACCGCACACCCTCAGTTCAGCCCCATTTGTAGGGGTGCCGGCCCCATAGCGTATGGTGGGAGCGCATGCCCAGCATCCCTGCTGGCTGCGGTGGGTGTGAACGCATCCAGGAGGGGAAAGTCTCTTTTGCTGGATGCTGGAGGGCATCCGTTGGGAGCGGGTCGCCTCCTCCTGATTTTTCACTATGACTGTGATGAGCCCCAAGCTGTGGTGCTGAGCATCCTCGTGGGGTTCCAGGGTGCGGGGGACAGAGCCCCATGCCCGCGTCCTCCCCTGAACGGGGAAATAAATTAAAGCATGGGATGGCCCGGATCCTGTGCAGCATCAGCAGGAGGTAATAAATAGGAAGGCGAGAGGTGAGGAGGTGGTGGGGCCTCGCCGTGCCCATCTGTGAGATGGGTGCAAGGAGATGTCCGCTGTCCCGGTCGCGGCGTGGCGCAGGGGCCGGGGCTCATGCGGGGCTGAGGTGAGGTAGGAGGACACGAGCAGCTTGGGCGATGACCTGCACGTACTTCCTGAGCACCTGGCAGCCCTGCTGCTTCTTCTTGAAGGCGCTCTTGCCCTTGCTGCTCTCCCCGTAGCTCACGTCCACCTGGAAGATGTTGTAGTGCTTGCAGAGCAGGCAGGTGAGGTTGGAGATGAGGCCCCGAGTGGTCTTGGTGGTGTTGTGGAGGCGGTCGAGGAGCTCCTTGGCCGTGGGGTTGAGCTCCTCCTGGTCGCGGGTGATGTTCCCCAGTGAGGCGTTGAGGAAGGCGAAGAGCTTGTACATGGCCACCATCACTTCCTTCCTTTCGGTGGTCCGGTTGACGTGGAAGGGGGGGAAGAAGATGCCGCTGGGGGTGCAGAGGCGGTCGCTCTCGCTGCTGAACGGCTCTCCCTGGCACTTCAGCTGTGGGGACAGCGAGTGTCACCCCCTGTCCCTCTGTCCCCACTGTGGCCGTCCCCATCCCCACCGCACCGCCCCACATCCCCACCATGGCCACTCCGCGTCCCCACGGTGGCCACCATCCTGGTGTCACTCACATAGAGGCTGAAGAGGTCCTGCGCAGTGGCGTTGAGCAGCGCAACCTGCCTGCGGGTCTGCTCCTGGACATTGGCCCGGCACAGCCCGTTGGTGGGACACGCAGCGCCCGTCCCCAGCAGCGCCCGCCCGGCCACCGGCCTCCTCTGCAGCAATAGCAGGGCCACGAAGGGCACGACACCTGGTGGGAACAAACCGATGTCGGTGAGCCCATACGTTCCCCACACAGCCCCACACGTCCCCCCGGTCCCACGCCCCTCACCTGCCCCCCGGCTGGGGCTCCCCCTCCTCCCGTCCCCCCGGGGCGCCCGGTGGCATTGCCACATTTCACAAGCGGCGGCCCCGCTGGTGACCTGTGCGTTGTAATCAAATATGCAAAAGTGATTTCCTCCCCGTTATCCCAGCCGGGCGCAGCGGGAGCCAGGCCCCACCCCGGCCCTACTGACTCAGCAGGGGCGCCCACAAGGAAACCTGCCCCGCGGCTGCAGCTCTGCCTCAGTTTCTCCATCTGCAGAGCGGGCGCAACTGCTGCTGGAGGCACCGGATGGGAGAGCGTGGCACGGGTGAGCGCTGGGTCACCGCGTCCCAACGGGGGTGACAACGGGGTGCTGCGACCCCCGTTTCGGTGTCAGCTGGGAGGCCGCCCTGCATGGGTGTCCTCGTCGCCATCCCCCTTTCCAAGCTCGGTGTCACCAACATGTGGCTCCCAGGGGTGGGAATGGGGGGTCCCCTCTCGCCAACCCTCGCCCCGAAGATCGGAGAGCACGTGGAGCCCTGGAGCAAAGTCCCCAGGGCTGCGGCACGCACCGAGCTGCCCACACTTGTAGGAACGTCCATGCTGCCGCAGGTCCCAGGTAAAGCAGCGACGCTTTTATTTGCCCTCTCTCAGCTGAAGCCCTAGGACAGCACTCACCTGACCGCTCCGTGATCCCCCTGTTCTCCCAGTCCCCTCCGTGCACCCGATCCGCAGCCGAGCAGAGCGAGGCCGGGCGCACGTGTGCAGGGACAGCCACTTTGGCAGCACTCCCCCAGCCCTCCCCAGCTCTCCCAAGTTAAGTAAGAAAGAAAAGCCAAAAAAAAAAA